TTTTTTTTTTTACATTATGATTACCAAGACTTAGGACATAATGAAACATTCAGGTGAGCATTTTTAGCCCCCCAAGATACTGTACAAATAAGGCTGACAGGCTATGTCCATGCTGAATATAATTCAACATTTGCCCTTTGACCCTACCTACGGTAATGGTAACACATGAACACCACCGAGCGTTGATTTCACCCTGAAGCCGAGCTGTTGTGCGTTCATTCGCTGTACATAGAGAACACATTTTCATTTTGCCTTCTGTGCAACTGTTTTAGATTCAACATGGCCAAACTCTGCCCTCAACGAAGGCCATGGGCCACCTTTAAGACTGTTACTGAGTTTTGACTGCAAAGGACTGTTCATTGTCTCCTTATCGAGAGAGCATTTCCTCTATATTTTTTACTTGAGTGAAGCAGGGAATTGATAGGGCAACTTGCCAGGAATACAAAAACACATGACTGATCGCCTAATTCAGATTCAGATTCAGATTCAGAAAACTTTATTCATCCCCATGGGGTAATTGGACTTAACAGGCACGCTTTGCACAAGAAACATGAAAAACAAAGACGAACATGGGATACAGTAGACTGTTGATCCTTTGAAAAATAACATTTATTCTTGTGTTTAGCAGCAAGCAGGATTTGTAGAAGTATACGTGATTCCTTGTGAACTAGTTAAAACGAATATGACTACAAGCTGTGGTGTTCTTTTTAAGCTATCAACTATCTGTGCTGCTTTCTTGTGTTGTAAGCATGTGTGAGAGACTTACTCTTGTGCAGTTGAAAAAACAAAACAAAACACTGTCGCTTATCATGAGGTCAAAGTTGATTGTCATGATATTTGTCTCTATGAACATCCAGGCACGTTTATTATGCCTGGCAACGATTCGAAATCTCAGTGTGTATAGCATAGACACCTGTGGTGCATACTCTGATGTGAAATGAGATTCTCTTAACATTTTCATATATTTGTATATTTATTGGGTGCTGTTTTCCAGGAGGTTGGTTTGGATATCGTCCTCTCCTGACGTTTTTTTTTTTCGTCATTGCTTCTTCTGGAAGTCTATCATGTTGGATACAGACACCTATGCTACTTTAAATCAAGGACGACTGTGGATTTGGTGATAAAATAAAGTGAACTGAACTAGCAAAGGTGTGTATTCTTTTGCTGAAAAGTTGTTTTTTGCAGATCATTCTGCTTGGAAAGGAAACACTTTTTAAGACAACAAGAAACTTACCGGTAATCGAGATTAATTTGGCTGAACCCATGAGGTGTGTCCTATTGTTCCTTTGTTGTAAAGACCAACACATTTACCTTTGATACGCCCTGCCTCGGTGAGTTGTCTGGTGCTTCGTCCTCTGAAAGAAATGCTGCATAAATATGTACTATTATAAATAAATGTTCTTATAATATATAAAAAAAATATATGGTATAATACCTTTTAAATTACGGATTTTTGAGGGAAATGTCTTAATATATCAAAATGCTCGTTGGACCGTACGAAAGAACAGGACACATGTGGGCCGCGGGCTTTAGTTTGACCACCGTGCAGTCTTCATCAACAAGACCCTATTTGCTTTCACGCCGACACATGCTGGCGAGAAGTCGAACCACAACAACACGTCACGAACGTGCTTTACCATCATTTCGCACGTGTTAAAGCCCACTTTAATTTGCCACTCAATTTTTTGGTGCAGTTAACTATATTTTAAAAATGCTAAGTCTGTTATCGTACAATACTGGGTGGGGAGGGTTAGACGTATAGTACTAAAACCAAACAGGCTGTAAAAGTGAAATATAGTGCGCTCTATTCGACACAGCATTTTTTTCCCCCTCCTGGTGATTGGTCCGAAGGGCCCAGCCCCCACCCTCGGCGCGCCCACGTGACCGCGCTCGCTGTGCTCCAAGTTAAAAACAGACTTTGTTTATCTTGCTGCTCAAATGTGCTCGGCCTCGTAGAGTCCACCTGCTCGTCTTTTGGTGTCGTTCTCGCCACAGCCACTGCTCAGCCTTAAGAGAGTTCCTCCTTCCCGATTTTGAGTTGTTTTTTTCTCCCTGGTAAACTAAGGAAGGAACATAGAGTATAGAACCCGCGTGAGGGGATTGTTATCCCACTTATATAGCAGACTCTCGCCATGGCGACCGAAGTGGACGCTCGGTCTTCAGCTCAACAGGCAGACGGTGAGTCAGTGCTTGGGTCGGGGTTTCGACCTCCACTCCGCCGGGGCTTGCTGGCATGCTCTATGCGCCCCCCACTATTGTGCACGCATGGGATGGGCTGGACGGCTAACATGCTGCACCATGTGCTCCGGAGACTCCCCCGACCCCCAACGACCACCGCCACAAGCACGCTTCCAGTCAACGCTGTTGGATGACGTAATATTGCACGTTTTACGTTCCAACTCACGTTTGTGCCCCAATTGACTTGCTTCACCCACACTGTTTGGCGATTTTCCCGTATTTAAAAGTCCTCACGTCGTGATTGGACGAGCTCGCAGCGCTGACTTCCGCCTTGACAAACATGTCTGCCACGCTCGCGCCACGACGTTCCAAAATCCAAAACGACGCTCTCGTTTTTTCGAGAGTTAATGTACATATTACGTCACGCATGGACCCGTCCGTGCATCGTGCGTGCCCATGACGTCAGAAGTGTAGCCTGAAGATAGTATCCAAAGGGAGTGCTTATATAATCTCCGCGTTGTTAGTGTGTTGAAATGTTACGTAAACTGCCGGAATGTGCAGTATTTTTAGCAGCATAACCAATAGGTTGTGCGGTTAATCAAACACTGATTAATCATTTTCTCAGGCATGGCTCCAGGATTTTTTTCTCTCTCCCGGGGCTCGAGGGGGGCTTGACGGACACATGGGGGGTGGGGTTGAGAAGATAATTTATACATATACGGTATTTTTCAAAATAAAAGGAAATTGATGGAGGGTTTTAACTAGCCCAGGTGCTAGCGCCAACCCCGGCATGTTCTAAAAACAGTAATATTGAACGCTGAGACACACAACATAACCCGTTATAGGCCGCTATAGTGCAGGAGTGAGTCCTTATGTTTTTTTGTTTTTTTTTAACGATGTATGTCAAGCCAAACTATTGTACCAGTTTCACAATAGCACCCTCTTGTCCACTAGGGGAGAAAAGGGAAGAACACAATTCATTTGATCTAATAAAGTTTAAAATGTCAATTCCAGTAACTTGACTTGATGGCCTGGCATGTGCTGTAATTATTTATTGGACGCTCTATCTGATCACTGGGTGCAGTTGTCTACTTTATCAAAGAAACGAAGCACCTCATGGCCTTGGCAAGGGGCAGTCATAACTAAACACCCTACCTCAAATAGATATCTGAAGGAGAAAGAAAGTAACAGTTGAAACCACCACGAGATGTTATAATATGGGGGGAAAAAAATGGCAAAAACATGCACTCTTTTATTTTGACATGAGCGTGCATTCATTTTATTCGTGGTTGCCTGAGCAATGTCCAGTTCAAGTGAACTTTAAATGACCTAAACGGAATCCTTGGGGATGAAAGAAAACACAACTTCACATCAGTGACAAACATTACTCTTCGTTGCCATTTAACGTCGTGGGGATGAACAATTAATGAAATCCAAATTGTCGTGGTGAACAGTGCAAGTCAAAGTGTTTAGTAAGTTATCAACTCTTTATTGAACGTAGTAATTGAACCGTCTTCCAGATGAAGTCACAGTTGAATTGTGTTCAGTCACTGGTGACTACTTCTGCACAATAAATGCCTTTGCATCTGCGCCACGTAGCGTGTGTACCAAAGATGTCGGGTTTGCACAACACTTGTACCATTAGGCCACTGGATGGTACAGGTTCAAACTGAAATGTCAAACTCTCATAAATTTGTGACATATACAGTAGTCGGGTCGACTAGTAGTTATGTTATTTGAAAGGGGAGTTGTGTGTGTCTTCTTCTCCTTTCCCCAGTGCTGCAACTGTAAAAGCTGTTTGAAAAAAAAAAAAAGGGAAAAAAAGCAAACACGTCAACAGTGCTGCTCTTTCTCCCTGGCTGCCATACAGCAAACGGGGAAGAGGTCATACACGGATACGACGTGGTCACATGTTATCTGTTAGAAATTGCACTCGTGTTTGTGGGTAGCAGCTTTTCTCAGTCAAATTCATACTTGGACTGAACAATTAATGGAATTCAAATCAATTTTGCACTGTAGTAGAATGCAACTTTGAAATCACAAAGGCATCATTTCGGTCGGTCGTTAGGCTTTATTTTTAACATATTTATGCTTAATGTGTTTATATAGTGTCTAGATGCTGTGTAGTGCAGTCCTTATGTTTGTGTATCATTGTTTCATAAAAAAACATGAAAAGTTGAAGTGATAAAGCCACACATTTGTTTGCATTATTGTGCTACAATGACTTAGGACATATTGGCTTATCTTTACATTTTGTGAAGCTGTTGTGAACACGTGAAAGACTGTGGGTCAAAGTTTTTGGTAAATTAACAACTCTATTTGAAGTAGATTACCTCTTTTATATTAATTTATGCTTCGTTTACCTTTATTTTAGTGTTCGCCTCACCTATAAGTCAAAAACATTTCTATTTAATCAATCTGATATTGTTTATTGTAATGCAGAGTAGTTTGTTTGTGTTTGTTTATGGGGAGAGGATCTGGGGGGGGGGGGAAGTCACACAATTGATCATCATTTGAGAAAATACTTTTTACTTTTTAGAGTTGTGTAACAAAATCAAATGTTCTTGCCCTACAATGGCCCACATTGCTGCACGTTGCCTGTTCCCATTTTAGGCTAAACAACAACAACAGCAAAGTTTTTAACAGCTGCAGAAGTTGCCTGACTTGAATACTTGCGCAACTCCCATTTAGGCAAAACTTTTTCTTCTTCCTCCCCCGCAGCTCTCCGCTATAGCCTGATTGGTTGGCCACAAGTTTTGGCACAGGGCAGTTGGTCGAGTCCTAATTTACAGCCAGTGACAGGCCGCTTGACCTACATATGGGAGAGAAGGAACAAGCGAAGGGGAATGTGCTTGTATATGCTCGTCTGAGTCGTCGGGTGTGGCCGTAAAGCGTTTCGACAACGTTGCTTTCTTTTCATTTGTTCCTGGAACTACAATTCTGTGAAACACACAGTTGGCTTTCAATGAAATTTCTTTTGGGATGAGTTGAGAGTCTGGATTCAGTTTGATTGCGGTCTGGACTTCTTCCCACCCGCCAGTAATATATAGCGCAGTGAGGGCTCACACTGTCATTTGGGCCTCTCCATAAGTATTCATTACCCCCTCCAGGCAAGCCTGAGCCAGTCATGTGACCCGCAACCATGCCATATGTAGTCAAGTCCGCTGCTGCGAGCCGACTGTGCAAGGACGGGAGCGACATAAGAAAAAAAACAGGCATCAGCATTTCTTTACCATGTGTTCTCCCTTTGCTGTGCCCCTCCTCCTCCTCCTCCTACGCCTGCAGGAATACACCAGTCCCGCCTGTTGTTGCAACTCACACTGATACAGTAATTACTCCAAATTCACACATTTAATAAGCACGCAGGTCACTTGAATACCAGTGCGCAGTACATGTACAGTATGCAGTGCGCAAACTGAATCATCATAGAAAATAGAGTAGGCCCGTACAGATGGTGTTTTAAAGTCCCTGAAAAGTTAAAATAAACATCCTCTAAATTTGATGCCAGCGCTGCACGGTGGTCGACTGGTGAGCACGTTGGCCTCACAGTGCAGAAGTGCAGGGTTCAGTTGGAACTTCGGCCTTCCTTTGTGGAGTTTGCACGTTCACCCTGGGCCTGCGCGGGTTTTCTCCGGGTGCTCCGGTTTCCTTCCATGTTCCAAAAACATGCATGGCAGGTTAATGGAATACTCCAAATTGTCTCTAGGTGTGATTGTAAAACAAATCATGTGAGTGATTGAAGGCGCTGTCGATTTGAGGTGAGGTGCTTATTCAAGTGGATTAAGTCTTCAACATCCTCAACTGGAGCCGCAGTCAGCTACTACTTAAGGAAATGCAGCATGAAGCTGGATCAGCCAGTATCGCTATCGGTGCTATCTGCACACTCCTGGTTTAACTGAAATGTGGCAGTTGGCCGCCTCCCCGCCGCCATACAGGCAACCTCAATAACATTAGTGGTGTCCTTCCCACTCACAGAGACGTTTCCTCGTGATGACAAGCTGGAAGAGGCGGAGCGTCCCTACGCCGATGACGACGACGACGAGCTGAATGAGGCGGAGGTGAATGGCAACTGGACGCCTCAAGAGAAGGCCCTGCACGAGGCGAGGCTCAAGGCCAAGGCCAAGCGACGTCTGCGCAAATCATCACGCAACTCCACCAGCGAGTCCCTCTCAGAGTTAGGGGACAACGCCGGAGCGGACCCTCACAGTCCAAAAGGCAAAGTCACCGCCAGTGACCGCAAATCCAGAACGGGCAAAGGGAGAGGCCTGCCAAAAAAGGGTAAATCTTGGACCAGAATATCTCGTGGGGTTTTTTTTTTTTTTTGACTTGATAATTTGTTTGGGATTTGCCCCCAAAAATATTTGAACGCGTATGGCGCTGCAACACATTTAAACGTTTGAAGTCACAGTACTCACAGTCCCAATTTCTTGATCCCCTGCAAGGAGGCGAGCTGAGACATCTATGCTGTCCAGATGTCTATGTTCTGCCTATCTTATACTCCCCGCAGGTGGCCAAGGTGGGCAGAGGCACATTGGCCATTCATTTGATGCAAAGTATGACAAAAACTGTTCAGTTGTTTTTGTTTCTATTTGTGCCATCACTGTATATTTTTGTAAAGTCATATATAGCTATCTATCGTCATTAAAAACACATTACATTTTTTTATTCCTCGGAGGGTGAATTAGATTAATGGCATTTCTGTTCATTTCAACGGGGGGAAATGTTTTTGAGATATTAGTGGTTTAAGTTATGATAGTGGTCACGGTACAAATGTAACTTGTATCTAAAGGCACCGCAGTGCAATTTATCCAAAAAGTGACTTCAGTAAATCTAACAGAGTAAATGTCATGCATTACCACACACCTCTGCCTGCCACGTTGCAAACACTCTATTTTATTCATTTTGTACCACAAAAATGCAATGTTTCATTCGTTGTTTTTGTTTTGGTTTTTTTCTCAGGTGGAGCAGGCGGTAAAGGTGTCTGGGGCGCCGCTGGGATGGTTTATGAAGACGAGGAACCTGATTTGCAGGATCCCAACTACGATGAATCTGCTCAGGTTAGCGTGAATGAATGTATTTACACTACAGCATATCTGCAAAAGTCTTGGAACGCTTACCCACCTAGTTGCAAATAAAGAAATTGGTGTCCCAATAATATTTCGTATTAATAATTAATACTTAATTAATAATTATGTCGTATAAATGTATTAGTCAAATGAATGGAATTAAGAAGTTGTACCACTGTCACCCTGCTTGAAATCAATGTGTGCCACACAAATTGCTCCAAGGTAGAAAGGCTCAGTTTTTTTAAAAAGAGTCACTTAAAGCTGCGTATTGCCACTCCCAGTTGACGTTTACAGTAAAACTAACACAAAATGAGGCGAAATACACGTATATTTAAATAAAATCATTCGTGTTGCAGAACTCCTCTCGCGTTAGCTTCACGCTAACACCAAATGCAAAACACCGTTTAAAAGGCTAACGAATGGAATCCATGTCCCAGTAAAAACCTTTTTATGGAAAGTCCATCCATCCATTCGTCCATTTTCCAATCCGCTTCATCCTCACAAAGGTCGCGGGGGTGCTGGTGCCTATCCCAGCTGTCTTCGGGCAGTATACGGGGGCCACCCTGAACCGGTTGCCAGCCAATCGCAGGGCACACACAGACGAACAACCACCCGCGCTCACACTCACACCCAGGGACAAGTTTAAGTGTTCAATCAGCCTGCCATGCATGTTTTTGGAATGTGGGAGGAAACCGGAATACCCGGAGAACACCCACGCAGGCCCGGGGAGAACATGCAACACACACAACACACAGGGAGGCCGGAGCTGGAATTGAACCCGGTACCTTTGCACTGTGGGGTCAACGCGCTAACCACTGGGTCACCGGGCCGCCTCATGCAAAGTCCAATCGGAAAAAATCTTTCTAATAATATGTGTCCTCACTGGTCTCATCACTGTATTCTGACTAAAATTGCATTTCTTGAATATGATTTAAAAATCCACCCGTTATTATCCATCTAGTACAAGGCGAAACGGTTGCCCCTGAGATGATTAAAAAAAATATGGATTTTTCTACATAAGTCATATTCCAAAGAATACCGTTTAGACCAGACATGTTTTGAAAAAAAATGTTGTTACTTGACTTCTCCTTGAAATAAAAAAATGTTTCATCGCAAACAACACAAACATAGACAACAATAGGGATGTTAATATTTAAATGAACCGATTAAGTGACAATACATTTTCATCAAAATTGCAAGCCGTAATGGCATTATCAAGTATCAGTACTCTGCATTGGCGCGCACTGAAATCGAAGCACTTCTACTCGTCGTTGGTGTGGAAAAAAAGTTGTATCAGTGTCTCCTTAGTCCTAGCATCTTTTTTCCTCCTCAGTGCATGTCACGTATTCCCGTTATCCAGATGGCTGTGTCACAGGTCAATCAACCGAACCTTTCAATCTTTAACCTCCTTATCAAGCAAAGGCCTCACTTTACTGGGGAAAGAAAGTAGAGTGGGAATTAAGCTTCTGCAGTGAAAAATAAAAAAGTTGATAACAGTGTAATTTCGACCTTGATGTTGGAACACAGTGGAACCGGAACAGTGTCAGTGGGGAACTATGACATGCCGGTACCGACAAATCGACAAATGTCCCATGCGCTGAGCAAAGGGATTGCCTGACACACAAGGTCTCAGTGTCCTTGGGAAGATTCCAAGTAGTAAAGATAAACATCAGGGTTAAATTTGAAAGAGTTCAGGCAGTTCAGGACCAAGTATGAAAGGAAGGCCAGTCAAAGCGAACAGATTAATCAATTAATTTATTATTTATGTACTTTTATTTATTTGTATTTATTCTGTTGTGATTTTTTTAAGGAAAATTAGCACTCTACAATATTATATGTTATCAAAATATGGGGTAATATCGTACATAAATAGAATTTAAAGCATAAAACAATTGGTGATCATGATTTAATGCTGCAGTCCAATTCATTGTGCTGCTTCTTCTGTTGTACCCGTCTTGGCCATTGGGGGCAGCACTATGTAATAGCCAAGAAAAAAAATAGACTTCTACGACTGTGACACAGTAAGTGGCTGTAATTTGAGTCACTGAGTCAGAGAACACAAAGAATATATGCCTGTGAGTACTGATGTGATATAATTGCATATGTTCCACCAATTGTGTTCATAAATCTGTTGTTTAAAGGGTTGTAAATTTGCAACTATTACTGCTAAACATAAGCATGTCAGTCACAGTTTCCATTTTATGTTAGCGTGAAGCTAGCTAGCCGCGCCATTTTTAAAGCAATAAATTGGGGTATACGGTATTTTCAGTATATGTTTAGTTTGACAGGTCATTTAAACTGGCAGTGGCGTGACACAGCTTAAAAGCGCTTTTGTGATTTTTGCTGCTTTTGAAGAAGTGAGCTGAATTGTCTTTATTGGCGTCCGTCATAAAGTGTTCGTATCTCAAGTTTGTGCTTGCAAGTCAAGGCAAAAAAATCAGTTAAGTGACAGTTCAAAACCTGAAAGACGGGTCGGTGCTGAAAGGCCCCACTGTATAATTATTGTATAATTATGTGTATGTAAATACATTAATTTACGGTTTGCGGATTTGATGTACTAAAAAAATGCCGCCTCAAAATTGTCACCTAACAACATTCTTATATTATTATACATACATTTCAAAATATTTAACTTAAATTATTCTTTTTTTTTTTAAATTTTGTCCCATTTTTTCCTTTAAATTCTTGTGACATAATCATATTTGTCTTTTAAGTACGGTAGTTTTTTTTTCCCCTTTTAAATTTGACTGTAATACAGGTGAGTAAATTACACCGCTGAAATCCGCATTGAAAAACAACGTCATATTCATGTGAACGTGATTTGCTATTACGTAGTTGCATTGGGTCTCTCCGATTTTGCTCTATTAACATACTGCACCCTTTTGTCGTTTAAAGGGAGACACGGTTTATGCAAAAGTTGTTCCAGAGGTGGATGAGAGGGAACTGGGGAAAATGGTCAACCCAATCGTCCAGGAATACTTTGAACATGGCGACACAAAAGAGGTTCAGGTTAGTGAAAACATGATTTGAGTGATCAATAGAACCTTCATTTGGTAGCTTTGGTGTATATGCTGTATACAATATCAAAATCAATTAACACAATAACACAAAAATTGAAAGGCTCTAAAATGGCTGACGTTGAACGTTAAATGCTTCTGTTACGTTTGTATAGGCCCGATTCTTAACGCAATGCCTCCAAGTGTACCTAATGTTGTGTCTAAGTGTATCACTGTTAGAGAAAGTAGACAAACACAATGTTATCATGTTTTAAAGTTTCATTTTGTTACTTGCTTGATTGATCTTGAAATGCTTGTGTTCAGACATCTTGCACACAATTGAAGCACAGAGAATCAGGGGTCAATTTGAGGTGAAGGGACCCAAGAACGCATGGTACCTCACCACATCTCAGAAAGAAAGATTTAATTCTCGTAGACACACAGGCGCCTGTTAAATGACAACTTAGAAAAGAAGATTTAACTTTGGGCGCAAGGGAGTACTCGGTAGGAGCACTTGTACGCTCCATCATGAGAAAGGGTCACAAGCCAGGTTACAGACATATCAGTCCATGGGAGGGACGCTCATTAAAATGTCTACATTTCTGTTAGTTTATGGATGTTGGTGCTGGTACCAGGGGAATGCTTTGTCTTTGGGGGTCCATTGAGGGACGACCCAATGGGGCCGTCCAGAGGGTGTGGTATGTAAATGAAGATGGGAGTGTTTTTCTAATGTATTACTTGTTATTTGCATACACAATCAATAAAAAGGCCGGCAGAGGCTGCAGGGGTCAGGTGACAGTGGGAAGCACACACTGAGTGGCGTCATGGAGAACTTCACCTCCTGCCGGCAGTGAAAGTCGATCTGTTCCTGCGTCGAGCCTGTGTTGAACTGTCTGAGCGAAAATCACTGACAATCACTAACACAGTGATATGTATGTTACACAAAGATGCTGCTGAAGGAACTCAACTTGGGCCCCCACAAGTACGAGTTCTCCTCAGTGGCTGTCTCTCTGTCCCTGGAAGGCAAAGCCAGCCACAGAGAGCTCACCTCCCGCTTGCTGTCCGACCTGTCCGTCAAGGTGCTAACCCAAAGCGACATGGCGCGGGCCTTTGACAAGATGCTCAAAGAGTTGCCCGACCTCATACTGGACACGCCCGACGCTCCGCAGGTACACGTTACATCCCGTAAATTCAACCCTGCATCGGTGTCTGGGGGGGAATAAAATGCAAATATTGGTGTAATACCAGGACTGGCCTGTGAGAGGCAGTTTGGCGCCCCAGAGAATACATAGAAGAGTATTAGTCATAAAATAGAAGTTTTTGTTGCCATGCATTTAGTCCGTCACTTGAGGAAGGATTAAAAATCTTTTGATGTGTCATTTTGCTTGCACCTCTGCTGAAGAAATTGGGAATAGGCTTCTGAAGTGGGTTCTGTCTGAGGTGTCGTAGTGCGAGTGCTTCAAAATGAACCCGCTTCGAGCCGAGGTCGTTGCATTCTGTTAGCTTACCGCTAGATGGCACCAAAATCCACACACACCCTACCTTTAAAAAAATTGTACGTCTGTACGTGAGGAGGAAGTGCATTGTAAAGAGTTTAATTATGTGTGATTAAAAAGTTAATCTATTTCTGAATTTTAATTGACTGCTCGAGCATCTGTTTTGTCATTTGACTTATTTTTTTATTTTTCTCTTGCACATGCCAGATGTTGGGCCAGTTTATAGCCAGAGCCATAGCGGATCACGTCCTTCCAATGTCATTCCTGGACTGCTACAAAGGCAAAGTGGACTGTGACCATGCCAGGTGAACATTCTACTCTTTAAATTATTATTTGATATGAAGAACATCTGAGGGGGGTTTATTTGCAGATGGTGCAGCAGTGTTTTCTATATGGGACAAAAAATGTACCTGGTCTTATTTTGTGCTGCTTTTCTACTCCAACCCTATTTACGGTTGTGGTCAGAGTGGCTTTAGACCGTGCTGCCGTGCTGCTGTCCCTGAAGAGCGCCATGGTGCGTCTGGATAACGTGTGGGGCGTGGGCGGTGGCCTCAGACCTGTCAAACATCTCATCAAGGAGGTATGATCAGCCCAGTAACTGGAAATAGTGCTTTTGATGATCCACTCGCACAGTCTCCACAATAGGCGCCAAAAAATTCCTCACCTCTCCATAAAAATGCATTACCAGGCGGTTGAATACATGGCATGTGTGTCTCCAAATGCACCTTGTAATTGGCTTGCGACCAGACCAGGGTGTGCCAGAGTTGCCAAAGTTATTAATCACCAAATTATGCTCAACCTCCCCTTGACCCCGAACAGGATGCCAATTAAATGTATTTGAAAGCTGTCGAGCCTGAATGAAGTGGTTTGTGTTTCCCAATTTGCATACACACACTAATGAGAATGTGTGCGTGCGTGCGTGCGTGCGTGCGTGCGTGCGTGCGTGTGTGTGTGTGTGTGTGTGTGTGTGTGTGTGTTTTGCGGGGTACATATCTGGTAAGTGGGTGGGGCAAGGAAATGGAACAAGTCTGCTGTCTCGTGAGGCTCGAGTACTTTACCTGGTTTGCCAATGTGGTTTGGACGCCCCTGAACCCTTGGTGACACTCAAGTGTGTGTGTACGGACTGCCACAGTCCAGTGTGTGTGTACGGACTGCCACAGTCCAGTGTGTGAACATTTTGCAAGACAAACAGAAGGCGTTTTGGCCTCTGGTTTTGTGCCTTCCCCACAGGGATGTGGGCCTTTTCAATGAGGGGGTGTATACACCCACACACACCTGCGCACTGCGGCCGTGTTTTTTTTTTTTTTTTTTTTTTCCACTGCTTAAGCCGTGTGTTGTTGAATTTTTGGTGCTGCAAGTTTGGGTGTTGCCTCGTGAAGTAGATGGGTTACGCAAGAGTGAGAGTGATGTTTGTACAAAAAGAGCACTTTGACAGTTGGTACTCATTGCGGCATTGTGTAACATCTCAGGCTTCAGGCATCCTTGCATTTCGCTGTACTTTACTATCTGCACGTCTTTGAACTCACTGGGCTGCCCCCCCCCCCCTTTCTTTCTGTATCACTCCCCATATTGGTCCTATGCCTCCCTTTAGAATCATTTGTTTCCCGTATTCTTCTGTTTGGAATCGAAACAACTTGCTATTCTCACGAGATAATTTGTCATTGGATGTATCAAGAGGTCACAGCTTGGTGGGCAACTGGGCCTCTATCGTTAGATGCTGACTCTTGACCCTGTGATTGACTTTGACCAACATAGTTTATGAGTGACATGTCGAAAAGTCAGTGTGTAACAAAACACCGATGAGGGTTTTGAAGATCTATTAACATTCTATTGCTATATCCACATCTAATAAACACAATAACCAAAAAAAAAAAAAAAAAACTGTTGGGAGGGGTTGAAATTGTCAATATATTCCCATATTTAAACACGGTAACCCAGCATTTTTTTAATTTGTTTTTTTGCATGAAAATATTGGCAAACTAAATGACCATAAAATCACATGAGCTTCACTCTTTGGACTATTTGAAGTTGTAGCTTTTTACATGTCAAAGCCAGGTGGACATTGACTTTCACCTGCTACGGCAGCTCCTAAAGCCCATAATTGACTCTTAATAAGGTCAAAAATACATTTGCAACAAACCTTGTATGACTTATTCAAGCCCCTGCTGAGGTATGTCCAGAGTGAGAATGTTTTTGTCGATATCCTTTCATGTGACCGTGCCGTGACCAAAATCACAGTTTTGCTTGAAAAGCTCCTGCGATAAAGCCACCGAGCACTTTTTTTTTAATCCTAGATGAACCTTCTGCTGAAGGAGTACCTGACTTCAGGAGATGTGATGGAGGCCGAACGCTGCCTGCGAGAACTGGAGGTCCCCCACTTCCACCATGAGCTCGTCTATGAGGTATCAAACATGCCCCTCGCTTTCGACAAATGACACTCATATATAGTGTGTTGGTCCCGCAACATGGCAACCTTCATTTTCTAGCTTAAAAAAAAAAAAATAATAACACGCAGCGAATATTGGATCTCATTAGTTCGTAGAGAGGCACCTGGAAATATCCCCTTGCATTCTGCCAAGTGCAGAACAAGAATTGGAATAAAATATCCTTTAATTCAGTTTTTTTATGCCAAGGACTGTTTGCTGATTTTTGGCAGGGTCTACACTTTCATTTGTCATGTACCAGTCCTAACCGATCAATCCAAAATAAATAAGAACATTTTGTGGCAGAGCCTCGATAGAAATAAATGTCCCCGCCCCCTCGGGTTCTGGAACGATCACATTGTAGCTGGCTGTTTCTCAATATTCATTTGTACAGTGTTGAATTTCAATGGTGATGACATGAAATGTTTCACAATGCACACAATCTTCTTATTGAAGCAGAAAGCAGCGTCAATAATATCGAAACGAGATAAAATGTCAAGTGCGTATCGGTGAATTTCCCGCCCATGATGCTGCGGCACATCCCATGAGAGATCTTTGGGTGTGCTGTGGGAAAGTATTCAATTCCACACAGTTTCTCAGCAAAGTATCTTTGATCATTTGTTTTTGCCAGCGACTTATAGTGACAAGCAGAATCGCTAAATATCCTTCCATGTGATGGCCGAATGTACAGAACTAACCCTGTGCGTTCACTTTTTTGGAACATTTTTATTTTTGGTGTGTTGTGAGATTTTTGACTCAATTAAGGTTGTGTCTCTCTTTCTATACATAAGGTTGGTGGATTCATGTGTCCTGAACATATGTGGATATCTTTTATTGCTACTGCTTTTGCTGAATAATCCGCTGCTGGGGACTCTGCTCAAATTTGTTGTGCACAATGTAACGTCAATAATTAAAATAATTAATCGTGGAAAGCTAGATGGGGAATTTTGGTGCAAATACAGATATCGACGGCAGCCTACTAATACAACCTAATAATAATTTCTTCACTTTTTTTTTTTTTTTTAAGCACATCAAGATTTGAGATTTCATTTGTTTTTTTTTTTTTTTGTTAACCCTAACTCTTAATTCATAAATACTGTATTACTAAATACATTACCATATCAATTATTACATTATTGTTTTGATATTATTAATGGTAAGATGAAAACCTGATGTGCCAGAGAGAAAATGAGGACAGATTCGGAATCAGTGCCAAAAAAAACAAAAAAAAACTTAGTTACTCTACGAAATTGAACCAAGAAAGTTGAATTAGGAACACTATCAACATAAGGATTGTAATTGGATAGTCCATTGTAATCAAATAAATTACTCATAATTAAAAATCTCTGAAATATTTTACATTAAAAAATCTGAAAATTTGATATACACATTACCTTTTTTTTTTGTTTTTTTTAAATCTTAAATTACCTCATAGACTACAAATGTCCTGGTCTGTCTGTCGATTTCAAGAATCAAATGTGAGCCCAAACATTTGTGTTGTATTTTCAGGCCATTGTAATGGTGCTGGAATCCAAAGGAGACACGGCCAGCCCCATGATCATCAAACTCCTGCAGTCCCTCTGGAAAACGGGCCACCTCACCGTGGATCAGATGAACAGGGTCGGTCGGCCTCTTTGTCTTCTGGGAAGACGATAATAACTGTTATTGACCACAACCCGTTAACTAAGACTTGTTTGTTTTAATTTTCCCTCTGCAGGGCTTCCAGCGGGTCTACGACGAGCTCCCCGAAATAAATCTCGACGTGCCACACGCCCACACGATCATGGAGACCTTTGTGGACCACTGCTACCAGGAGTCTGTCATCACCAAGCAGCTAAGAGACGCCTGTCCCTCCAGGTTGGTCGTAGTGGAGTTCTTGTTGGCTGAAATGTGGACATTTTTAGTTTCAACCATTGTTTCTGCCATGCTTCAGGTGAATTAGTCACTTTGGAAAATTTTGTTTCTGCGTGTGGTGGTTGAGTTGGATTGGTTGAAAGAGTCACTCGACAGAACCAAAGTGGGGATCACTCAAGCAATAGTAGATGATTTTAAATCTAGCAGTAGCAGGCAGAATGTAGATAAATGTCATCGTAACAAAAATACTCAAGTAAAAGTAAGCAATACAACTACTCTGACAAGTACACGGTATCCAAAAAATCACTTAAGGAAATGTAACATTTGTAAATTTTGGCATCTTGCTTCCACCCATAATGAGTCATATACTGCCTCACCAAGTGTTGAATATTAATGAAAGTGATTCATTCTACCCCATTTCCTCCAAATCCACGCTCTGCTCAGTCATCAGGAATGTCGTCCACTTGACCAAAAATATGCCTCACCTCAAATTAAGATATTTTATCCACCCCTCCTGCAGTAAACGAACTACCGTGACATTGAATGCTGTCGTTTATTATGCTAGATGTTACAACCAAATTATCACAAAACATAATTTGTCTTCCATTTTTTTTCTGACATAGGCAAATTGTCCCAACATACTGACCATGATACAAAATAGAAAAATCTCGCACCTATTATTTGTAATATGCTTTTGTCCCTGTATAACTGAATCATGGATTCAAATTTTGATTTATTTATTTATTTATTACCTGCAAGATTTTTTTTTTGTTTGTTTTATGAATGGTCCTATTTTTGTTGGGTAGTGAGAATTTGTTGTATTATATCACATTGTTATTGTAAAATACTATTAATGCAGTCAATTTTATTGTTAGTATAATTTTTTGGGCTCGACTGCTATAGATGTTTTTTTTTTCTTGTGCCAGATGCAGCTTCCGATATTTGGTCAAATCAAACCCAAAAATAATTACAAGTCCACTAACCAATTAATTGTCATATTATTAATGAATAATAAATTGTTTATATAATGAATGAAGTAACTTGTTTTTTTTTAGTCCTTTAAAGCTTACAAAAGTAAAGACATGAATATAAAGGCAGAACTTTTCATTGTTTTAGAATCATTTTTCCTTTAGTCTTTAACCTTACAACAGAGAGCTAAAGCGGCAAAAAAGATTTATTTTTTGAATGGAGGATATATTTGAATGTCTTATGTTGTAATGCAAAAACAGTGACTTATGTTTACCGGTATTTATTTTTGGGGGGTTGATTTTTGCCGATTTTCAAAGTGCTAATATCGGCAAATTAAATAGGCTGGCTGATTAATTGCAATTTAAAAAAAAAAATTACCAGTGTATCTAATATTCATTCATTCCTTTTTAACTGCTTCTCCAGTTCAGTCATTGGTGAGCTACAGCATATACCTCGTATTAAACAGCATTTAGAAATACATTTGTGCAAATAAAGGCCATGATTAATGCCGTGCCTCTTTGCACTAGCTATTTGAGGGAACACAATCCTTCCATTATTGCCCATGTAAAATGCAGGATCCACTGTCCATGATTCCCACCAACGTGTCTTTGTTTTTCCTCCACTAGAGGACGCAAGCGTATGGTAAGCGAAGGCGACGGTGGCAAGATAAAAAACTGAAAATGGCCGATGAAGAGGATTCTCAGGAGGAGGCATGCTGGTTTGGTTCTGTGTCCACCTTTCATTTGGACATCTTGACAGTTTTCACCTCCCCTCCCAGATGACATCTTCACATCACCATCATCACAGCAGCTGTGGTGAAAGTGACACCAGTTCCCTTCATCTTGGTCACCACTGTTATTGTTTTTGTAAGAATGTTCATTGTTTCTTGGGTTGATCCACCCCTCTCGTCTTAGCTTTTGTACTCCCCCACCCAAAAAAACAAAAAAAAAACAACTCACAGCTGGAAATAGAGAGGGGAAGTGGACCTGCTATTGGGGTGTTTTGCTTCACCCTTTCCATAAATGGACATCTCTGTTCAGTTGTTCCTGAGATGGTTTTGTTCAACATTGACACTTCATTGCTTTTCTGTCCGTTTTACATGTTGACCAAAGTTTGAATATGTATAAACAAATTATTTCGTTCATTAAAAAAGGCAACATGACATTTGTTTCTGTGTTTGTTTGTTTGTTTTTTTTTGTTTTGTGTTGTTTTTGCCGGCAGTATGTACTGTATAAACTGTGCATCAAAACTTATTCTCACATATAATCACATTTATTGCTAGTAGTCATCAGCAGTCTCTGTCAGTCAAATAAAAGATGTTCGGGGCTTGGAAATATAAAATAAAATAGTAACACAACAAAAGAAAGTGAAGACAAAACAAAAATTTGTGATGCTAACATATGGAGTAGACAGCAGAAAATAATGGAACAGTGTCACTCTCATGTTGGGTCGAAAGCCAAAGAATAAAGATGTTTTTTCAAACGAGTTTTAAAAATGGACAGGGAAGGACTGGCAACAGACAAGGCTCCTCTGAAGTCAAATGATTTTATTCCCTTTCACAGCTTTTGATTCAACTTCATTATGACCGAACGCTTATGGAGGTTATTTCTTTCTTTTTATTTTCTTTTGCCAAACTTAAACCACAAAGGCAATTAAATCAGTTACTAATGAAATTGTATAGTGTGGTGGAAATATATAAATTATTTTATTGAATAATGTGTTACCTTATGAACAGTTCATATACTGTAATTCATGACACTTCGAATTAATTAGTGGTATTTTTATTCATTTAGCATTTTAAAGCACAAAAAGCCGTGAAATTGATATGATGTCACATTCAAGCGCGCGAGAACGTCATCGAACAGGGACATGAACGCGGAAGTAGCCAGCCGAATGAGTGACGGACAATGAATAGCTGAGACTGAACATTTTTGACTGGTGGGTAACCATGCACTATATGAACAATTATCTGAGTCTACCTTTATATTATCTGTGAAGAATTCAACGGCGTACTTTTGTGATTACTGGCCGTACGCGAGCATGTTAGCTTTAAGGCAGGACTAGCAGGAGGCGCGAATGCAACGTTGCATTACCGGACTGACGTGTGATGAGACCCAAGTGGTTCATGGCATGCGCCAAGTTATTTTTAATCGCGGTACTTTTCACACAGACAAATCAATAATTGACTATCGCCTTCAAAACACCAACAAGACGCATATGGTCGTCACGACCAGAATTATGAATGAGCAACGTCAATGCGTGTCAACCGACAGAATGTGAAGAAAATGTCAATTTGCTCCAAATTCCAAAGAACAAACTTGTTCAAATTGAAAGGGCTTGGTAAACAATTCATAACAACATAAACGTGATATACAGAGAAACCTTGAGTAACAAGGAATTTATACGCTTTAAGGGCGTTTTGAATATATCTATAAATGGTAATTAATGAGCCTTCTACGACCTTTGCCAGCTTGGTTGACACCGTTATGATTATTGGCAATATTATACAAAACAAGAAAAAACACGAATAATGCACAACACCAGACATAATACTATAGTTGGAAGGAGTTGACGCTGGAATTCCCAGCATGCCTCGAGGTTCCTTCTTTTTTTTTTTTGTAAATGATTATTAATTACCGGAATATTGTCTGTGAGTTGTTCATTATTTCCCAAGGTTAGCAGTATTTATTTCTGTTCACCCACCTACCTATTTGTTAACTTTCATTTTTTGTTAGATTTTATTATGCACCGTTGGTTTGTTTTGTGTGGTGGTTAAGTGTTCAGTAAGCCCCCTGGTGGCAGTTGTGTGGTATTGATACTGTCAGTAAAATTATCTCCAGCAATTTGCGTTGCCGTCGTCGTTATCGTGCATAAGAAATATAAATATTTGCCTTATGCGGATACGTGACGATAGAAACAATAGGAGAGAAGTGGCACGATCAAAACTTTTCTATCGTCCCTGAAGGGAAGCGTAGGACAGTTTGGCCTCGTCGTATTTTGTTATGGGAGATGAAAGAAAAAACGGTCAGCAGACTGAATCCATCTAACAGAACGGAAAATTGACCATTGAGGGCTGTGCAAATGAAGTATTGTATAAAGCGACTTGCTTTTGATTTTTTAAAAAATAAAACTGCACAACTTGCTTTCGGTGCTTCGTTTAGTCAAAAACGTATTGTATGAGCACATACAAAAGCACTTCAGATAGACAGCTTGACAAATAGGCATATCATGGATTACTCTGTTTGATCCGTGCCACTGAACTCTGCCCATTTCTCTCATGCTCAGGTTGACAAGGGCAGGATGGGCAGGCAGCGAAAGAGGGTGGTGACCGGAGATGCCGCCCCCCCTCTTCTAAGAAAAGATGAGAAGCCCCCTGCGTTTCACCGCAAGGAGAAGAAGAAGAAAATGGACATCGGCAAACTCTTCATTAACATCTCCATCGGCCTCTGCGTGGTCAGCCTCATCTGGTTCTTCTATGCCCTTTACATGCGCTCCAGTCTGGCCAAGCGCGTGGTGACGTTGCACCCGTCACCTCGCGTCCTGGATGCCAATTCCAGCAGTGCCCAGGTCTCTCCGGACAGGTTTTGGGGTTCTTACAGGCCTCAGGTCTACTTCGGCATGAAAACAAGGAGTCCAAGGTCGATTGTGACAGGTAGGCACAGGCAACCACTAGAACCAGCTTGTGTGCAGTGTCGCATCCCTCACCCCTCTTTCCTTCACATTGCGCAGGCGCATGGCAGCTACAAAGTTAAACAAACATATCTGCCGTGTGAGACTTTGATACCATTTTATTTGTTAGATTTTTTTTGCACTTGTTTATTTCAATCTGTTAAAAATTGTGGAATTAAAAGCTGGTAAATTTAAGATCAACTTTTGACTGAATAGTTGCTGCATCGTGCCAGCAAGGGTTTTGTGTTTATTCTTTTGGAAAATAAATATGTTTTTGTCTAAATTAAGGTGACGATACAGTTTTTTTCCCCCAGCCAATAGCACGCACCATAAATACAGCGAGAAATTCACAGTTAATCCTTGCGCTCGGAATCTGTATCAGCAGATGTCACTAGTGGGTGATAAACTGGTACGCGTATTCAATCGATGCTCTCTCTTTCTGCGCCATCAGGTATGATGTGGATGAGTCAGTTTTCCGACATGGACATGAACCTGAGGCACACCTGCGAGCAGGGAGATCGCTTGCAAGGTTACGGCTGGCTGATGCATGACGGGCTCACCTTTGGCGTCCAGGAGATCCGAGACAACGATTTCACACTGACCACCGAGTTTGTCAAGCGGGTGGGAGGTGATCACGGTGGAGACTGGACCTGGAGGGTCACCGCTAAGCAACACGTGAATAGAAACCTTTTTTATGTGTGACAGTGTTTCCATAGCAACTGCTACGAATGAACTGATCATTGTCTTTTTTTTTTTTTTTTTTTTTTCGTTTTTGTTTTTTACCCATTAGAGCTCTGCCTCCAAGGCTCCAGTCATCTCCCTGATGTTCTACGCTGCGGCAGATACCCAAGGCTCACTGGAGGCTCACGTGGAGGAGAAAAAACGCCTCGCCTCCATCACGGGTGTCTCCGAAGAGCTTGGCAATTTCAAGATCACATTCCGAAAACCAGTTACTGGGGATTTGACGAGTCCAAAATATGCCAGGTAAGCGTGAAAATTCACAAGGTAGGATCAGTGATAATCGCAAAGGAGAAACCTATACCATGAATAGCACAAAATAAGTCTTCGGCTGTCTGGCTGTCTGTCTGTCTGTCTGTCTGTCTGTCTGTCTGTCTGTCTGTCTGTCTGTCTGTCTGTCAGGTGCGCTGCAACATATTGATTGGTTGACTACAGACCGTTTACTTGTGTGTTACAATGGCAGTGAAATGGGAATGTATGCGTGAGGGCCAAGTACATGATGACAATGATGAATTTTTGAAACCTCCCATGATACTTCATGAAGTCACGTTTCATAGCCGCAACCACTTGATGGCAGTACGCAGCAGGTATTTCAGCCTGTGTTTGAGCCAGTTCTCAGCCTTATTTCATCCAACAGTATATTTAAGACCAAGAAACTAACCCTGAATGGTGCAAGTGGTCAAAGATTGATGGAAATATCCAATTTTTAAAAACATTTCTGCTGACACTGTTGACAAATAGCGACATCAGTTCAACATTTAATGAAGTCCACATAAGAGCATGACACAATTGAAAGCAGGGATGAGCAATTTAAATGATGGAGGGGGGACGGGGTGGGGGGGGGGCATAATTTTTCATCAGCGCTACTGCTGGGCCCACATAGGACCACACGTTTCCCAATCAGGTGTCTGGCAAAAATGCCATTTGAAACATGGACAAATTAGCATATCTCTTTTTATTTATTAAACCAAAGTACATCACACTACCTTAATCTATTTCATGCTTACCGGATGTATCAAAAATCCAGCCTTCAACAACAAAGGGGTCGAACAATCAAAAATCAACCACATACCGTGAGGTTTCCCCCCCCAGTGCAAAATGCCCTCGTGTATCAAAATTCCGATTCAAGGATGGCACAAAACTGCTGAATAGCAAACCATCATTCAGTGCAAGAACTCATTTTATTCACCCCCCCCCCCCCCCCCCCCCCCAAATAATCTCACTCACAGTTTGAATATGCTACGATGTTTGTCCCGCATGTCGTTCAAAATCCCCGAATTATTTGGGCTGCAGACCAAGCTGCAACCGTCAGATGTGTTGTCGCCTGTTTGGTGTGCAATTTATAAAATGTACATATCATATATGTGGTATCATAACTGGTTCACGGTAGAAGGTGGTGTTTTTTTTATTTGTATTTTTTCAATGACTGCTGGATTGCGCCATTGTTTGACCAGTGACTACCCTCCAAGCGCTGCCCTGCGAGAAATCATTCAGGTTTGCCACAGGAGATCTCGTTTCACTCAAAATATTGATTACGCTCCAAATAGGTCTTTGCTCCTCTATCTCTGTGAGCAACATGTAGTGACAGGCAGAACAAAATCAACGTTCGTCCACGAGATGGCAGAATGCACAATGAACCCGTGCATCCGCGTTTCCATTCATGCCGCGGACTAATAGCGCTGTGTTCAATTAAGAACCCCGAGATTTCACGCTGTTAATTGGTGAGCAATTTGAGACGAGCTCATCATGATGTCAGTCTGCAGGTACTTTGTGTGCCATATTTTCGTTTGGTGGTGTGCCCTGAGAAACTTTCAATATGAATTGTTTCCCCGGCTCAATAAAGGTTGGAAAACACTGGTCCACGCTGTGAAAATGCAAGGATTTAATCAAGTTTCCTGCCTTTGCAGTTACAACTACCTTCAGACTCGTGCTCCCGGCTTGGAGAAGCTGACTGACATTGTGAAGCACAGTCTGAACCACAGGTTTGTCTTCAGCCCGCCATCCGGGGAGAGGAGGCATTACATCGCCGTGGATGCCTACAAACCCCCGTATCACCCGAACCAACAGAAGAACCCCCCCGATGCTAGGAAAGAGGGCGACTTTGTAGTGCACCAGGTCACCGTTCAGACACCGTTTCAAATGGAAGTGCTCTTCGAGTCGGCGAGCTTTCGCGGCCGCCACGACCAGCTGGTGGGCCCCGTGATGACTCAGGAGCTGGAAAAGAGGAAGGCAGAGTTCGATGCCAAGTTTGAGAAGACCTTTGAGCTGGAGCGAAAAGGTCACAGCCGGGCGTACGTCAAGTTTGGCAAGGCGGCGCTCAGCAACATGTTGGGCGGAATGGGCTACTTCTACGGCCAGTCGGTGGTTCAGTCCGTCTACAACGAATACCCGCTCCTGTACCCCGAGGGCGCGTTATTTACCGCCGTCCCGTCGCGCTCTTTCTTCCCCCGAGGTTTTCTTTGGGATGAGGGCTTCCACCAGCTGCTGCTGAGTAAGTGGGACCCCCAGGTGACGAGAGAAGCCGTCTCCCACTGGATAGACCTGATGAACGTCGAGGGCTGGATCCCTCGTGAGCAGATCCTCGGAGACGAGGCTCACAGTAAGGTCCCTGCCGAGTTTGTAGTTCAGCGAAATGAGAACGCAAACCCGCCTACGCTCTTTTTAGCTCTCCAGGGGCTAATTGAGCAGTTGTCATTAAATCCAGACAGCGTGGAGTCACTTCCCACTCTGCCTTTCCTAAGACGACTGTACCCCAGACTCAAGACCTGGTTTGAGTGGTACAACACCACTCAGTCGGGGCCGGTGCCCAACTCGTACCGCTGGCGTGGGCGTGACAAGGACTCCAATCTGTTCCTCAATCCCAAAACCTTGACCTCGGGTCTGGATGATTACCCGCGAGCCTCGCACCCGTCGGCGCAAGAGCGCCACGTGGACCTCCACTGTTGGATGGCCCTGTCCTCGGGTATCATGGCTCGGATCGCTCAGCTTTTAGGCCAACCTCACGGGGACTACGAATTCACCCACCGAGTGCTGACAGACAATAACCTCCTGAACGAGCTCCACTGGTCCGAGCAACTCCGCGCCTACAGCGACTACGGCAACCACACTCAGGACGTATCCTTGCAACAGGAGAAGGTGTACATGCCCCCCGGACAACACCGCCACCAGTTCCCCGTCACGCGACTCGTTCGCTCTGTTCGCAAGGCTCCCAAACTGCAATATGTCAACGCTCTGGGTTACGTCAGCCTGTTCCCCTTCCTACTGCACGTTCTTCAGCCGGACTCGCCCAAATTGGAGCACGTTCTCAGAGACATGAAAGATCCCAACAAGCTGTGGACACCTTACGGCCTGCGCTCTCTGTCCAAAGCCGATCCGTTGTACATGAAGCGAAACACGGAACACGACGCTCCCTATTGGAGAGGACCGGTGTGGATCAATATCAACTACCTGGCGGTGAGAGCCCTCCACCACTATAGTAACACGCAGGGACCATATCAGGAGCAGACGGCCGCGCTGTACGAGGAACTCAGGACTAATATTATCAGTAATGTATACAGACAGTACGCTGAAACGGGTTACGTGTGGGAACAGTACAATGACGCCACCGGTAGAGGCCAAGGAAGCCACCCTTTCACTGGCTGGTCGGCCCTAACTTTATTAATGATGGCTGAACAGTATTAATATCATCTCCTCAGAAAATGACGGCGGTCCAAACTTGACATTGAGAGGGCAAAAAAAAAGATTTTTAAAAATCAGCCTTCAATTAATGTGATGTAAAAGTAATCGTGTTTTGTATGAGTAACCTGTGTTTTGACGTTTTGACTGGCGGGAATCAGAATCGACTTTGGCGTTGATCATGTCATGTTTGCAAACAATAAATGTTTTTGACAATATGCTTGCATAAATCCTGGGCTCCCTATCTCAACTTGGGACAAGTATTTGAGCCATTTTGGGAGGCTTGAAAGAACGATACTGTGGGAAAAGAAAACCACACAGAGGGGGGAACATATCAATTTTTGAATTTGTACGATCGCCGTTCCAATTTCTCCCACCTCCAAAGGGAATTTTTAGCTCGGCCAACAGTATAAATGTTTAGAACGTTGTGTGTTTTTATTCGCCTCGCCTTCAACTCCTCACCTGGTATTTGTCTGCACTCACTCTATCGTAGCTCACATTAGCTTACGCACACCGTGACCTGAAGCACAGCCTGACGAGCGTTTCTCTCTCTTGTCACTTTTGTCCCTGCAACTGACGTCAGTGTTTTGCAGGTTATTTCATTTTATTTATTTTTTTAATTTTTCTTGGCATGGTTTCCATGGAGCCTGGTTGTTGTGAGGGCTCCCTATTTAGCTGACATCAAAAGACACCAAGTTTGACTTCTGTGCGCCCTTTGCGACAACGTGACATACATTCACACTGGGGTGCATCTTGTGGCAACGTTTTTATTAATACTTTGACACCACATACAAAAGCCCGCGAGTCAGAGAGGCGATGCTGGCTGTCTGCGCGCGCATGACTCTGACCTCATGACTTCGAGCAATCCGTCGAATGGACTGAATGCGGTTGTGAAGTTGGGAGGCTTGGAGCGGTGCAGCGAGGTTGCATCGCCTATAAATAGTACATTTAGCAGAAGATGACTTTTTTTTTTGTATTTTTTCGGGGGTAGGGGTGGACCAATTTTAACCCTTTCATGCACCAATCATGATAACCTGTAACTTGATATCATGATAAGCTGTCCACTGTAGTCACCGCTGTCCCTTGAAAGGCCGAAACATCCCACGCCATTGAATGTACTGTGTTGTATATCACATAGAAACAGACCTCTATAGGGCAGCGTGCTGGTCGGCTACTCGTACGTCACTTCTGGTCGCCCTAGTGGTGTTGAGAGTAACTGCACGCACAATGCCTCAAGCTTCCAGCAGGTTCGGAAACACTGAGTAATTAAAAGCTTTTAATTGAACTGTGGTTGACAACTTACAGGAAGTGACGTGTATGTAAGACAAAATATATTAGCAATGACAATATGAATTTTAATGGACTGAAAAATCAGTCAGCCACACCTTTTTCTGTCAAGTTGATTGTTTTTCCTCGGGTGCAGGGATTTCTTTCACGTTAAATTAGAGATAAAACGTGGGCCAGAGGGGTGGCCCAGTTGTCCAGTGGTTTGCCCGTCGACCTCACAGTGCAGAGGTACCGGGTTCAATTCCAGCTCCGGCCTCCTTGTTTGGAGTTTGCATGTTCTCTCCGTGCCTGTGTGGGTTTTCTCTGGGTACTCCGGTTTCCTCCCACATTCCAAAAACATGCACGGCAGGCTGATTGAACACTCGAAATTGTCCCTAGGTGTGAGTGTGAGCGTGAATGGTTGTTCGTTTGTGTGTGCGCTGTGATTGGCTGGCAACCGGTTCAGGGTGTCCCCCGCCTACTGTCCGAAGACAGCTGGGATAGGCTCCAGCACCCCCCGCGACCCTTGTGAGAATTTAAAAAGAAAAAAAGTGTTTTTTTTTGTTTTTTTAAACCAATCAACGAGTTTCCCCGAGAGGCACATACCTTTTCCAATTTATTCAACTATAGTACATTCTTTTGAATATTTGCTGTTTTTTATTCCAATGCATTCAGCACTTTGGATTGTGAAACTCGTCAAATGACTTTGTCCATGTCCAATGATTGCCGGTGGGATCCGTCGCGCTGGCTATCATTTGACCTTTTGAGCTACGAAGGCAAAACATGGAAGTGAAGCATTTAACGCAGATGAGCCATATCCTGTGCCTTTTTGCAGTGTCTCGCAGAGGAAATGGATTCCGCGATCCCTTTTATGCGGCTCCAAAATGCATGAATTTCTTTGAGGGTGTAGACAATGCGTGTGACTAAGGCACTCAGTGTGCCATCCGTCCCCCTCACCCAAGACCCTTTTTTCCCCCAGCGCGGTGATGGGATAATAGGAAAACAGCATCAGAGCTAACTAATGTGACTGCATGATAATCAGATGAGTCAGAATGTAGTCATTTGCATCGAATTTCAACATTACCATGGCCTATAGGCGATATATTGATTATAAGTGACGATCGCTCAGTACTGATCAAAAAAATGTCGTGCACGTAGTCATGTAATTGTAAGGGAGTAGAGTGGCCTAATTGGTTGATGTCAATCATGAAAATCCATAATTAGACAGAAGCCTCATTGCTGGAAATCATAATTGGCATATAATTAGTTTTTTTGAATGTGTACATTTAGCAAATGTATCTCTTATTTAATTTAACTTTAGCTTCAAATAATCACAATTAGGACTAATGTTTCTTTTGAAGTCATTTGAATCATTTCCATTTTTCTATTTCAGTTGAACGACAGTGGTACTAAATAATAAAACGAATAATTAAAATAATTTTAATCTTTTATTTAAACAAAATAGTCTCTATTTGCTCTTACCATTCTACATTTTAATTTTTTTAATTACTTTTCCTGCATTTACAAATACAGATGATTTGATTTCAATGTATGGGAGGCGCGGGGTCATTTTTGTCAGTCAATGAAGTGATTTGATTTTTGATGAAAATCTTCCACGGTGAATTTCTGCAGTGAATGATGATTTTTTTTTTTCATAATTTCATACACAGTATTGTGTATGTCCATTAAATGTATGGAGGAAAAAGCAATTGGAGCAAAATGATGATAGTTTTGCATGCAGTTACTCAAAATGTTTGCTAGAGGGAGCTACTGTAATTATAAAGCCATTCATCAGGGGAGCAGAGGCTTTTTCTGAATTTCTATGAACCTTCTCATAATTGTTTTTTTTCGTTTGTAAAATGTAAAAGACAACTATTTTAGATTTTTTTTTCATTTGGAAAGATTCCCATTCAGTTATGATTTACTGTTCTATACTGTGTTTGAGTCAGACAGTCCTGTGCAAAAATCTATGTTCAGGGGAGCTAATTAATAAGGCATTCACCACAAGAGGCTTCTTGAATACAGTACAGCCTGGCTCCCATTTTACTTTACAATGGAGGGCTACTTAGAATTAAAGCAGTGTAAGTGGATAATTATGCTAATGATCAATTTACATTGAAGATCTGGTGACAGGCTGTAATTTTTAGAGGGACTTTTTTTGGCGGCCGGAGGTGGGGGGCCTCTCGGTGCTCCTCTCACAGGCTTTTCAGGTCTGTAATGTTTATCCGATGTGAAGCTGCAGCCACCCGATGTTCTGCACGAAAACAAACACGAGGCTTCTTGCGCTTGATGCAATTTATATCGCCGCTTAATGGTTGGGGCTTGCGGCCATGAGCGCTTTCTGAATCAGACAACTGTGTATATTCTCCTTGGCATCAAAATGAGCAAGCCTTCCTGCCTCCATTTGTTGCATTAGCCGTCGTCGTGCATGTCGCTCAATGTCTTTCTAGTCCCTTTTTTTTTTTTTTTTAAATGCTTTCTATGAAAACCTTTGCCCCACACAGGCTTTGCTGTGGAGCGGCAAACTTGCCTGAGCCAACATAGGTCTATGTATGTTATGTAAGCCCCACTATAAATAGGTTCACCCGGGATCTTTTGTCTTTACCTGATTCGCTCTTGGCCCAACATTTCTCTTTATTTATTTATTTATTTATTTCTGGAGAGAGCTGTGGATGCTAGTGCCATGTAGAGCTGCCCGTTTCCATAGTTACTTTTGTTAGCTGCGAGCTCTTAACATTCTTCATCTGTTTCCTCGCGTGTCTGCCGCGTCGGGCTATTTGTTTGGACCCGTTTGCGTTGCGCCCTCCCCGCTAATGACTGTGTCGACAGTGGCGTGGTTGATGAAGATGAAGGCGTTCTCTAATTATCAGCAGTCATGTGCTCGCATACGCGTCGCTGCATGGGAGAAAGAGCAACAAATAGAAATCAATGTGGGTGCCGATGAGTCAGAGACCACAACGCCGAGACCTATTAACTTATGCCAGTCAACAGCACATGCAAGTAGCCCCACATTGCATGATAATGATTGCATGTGGTTATTGATCCTTAAGTCCGGGGGTACTTTTGTATTGTCTGGGGAAAAACGGGGGATATCCTCGGAGCATCCAGACTTTTGCCGCTAATGGCTGCTTACAGATTTATAGACCCCTTTGAGCCTCTTCGGTCGAGAGCAGTGTTTTTCAAGTTTAATCGGGCCAACGTGGCCTGACTAAGGCACACATTTGACTTGAAAATAAAAAGTCACGGTACGCTAACTAAACAAAAATGTCATAAGAAGTATGAACACTTCTCCCTAAAAGTTAGAAACGTTCCGAATAAAATTCAATGGACATCTTTATCATGATAGGACATACAAATAAGTGACAAGGAAGCATCATTTTGATTCAAACTATCCATTTTGGTTGTGTTTATGTGCAACTCTGCACTAAATGAGACCCGATCGGAAGCAGTTTTCCCCAGATAATGGGTTACGCTTTTCAGCCTTCCCTCTCGAATGTGAGCGGAGCATGACGTCAAAGTTTACTTATCATTAGGTGGTGCTATGCGCTGTTGATGGCCCGCTTGGAACTTTACTTTGGTTTCAGAATTGCACCGCAGTTGGATCATATGCTGTGAACCCACAAGCCGTAGGTTTCCCACAACTTTCATTCATTTATTCATTTTCCGATCCACTGTATCCTCACTAGGGTCGCGGGGGGTGCTGGAGCCTATCCCAGCTGTCTTCGGGCAGTAGGTGGTGGACACCCTGAACCGGTTGCCAGCCAATCGCAGGGCACACAGAGACGAACGACCATCCGCGCTCACACTCACACCTAGGGACAATTTTGAGTGTTCAATCAGCCTGACATGCATGTTTTTGGAATGTGGGAGGAAACCGGAGTACCCAGAGAAAACCCATGCAGGCCCGCGGAGAACATGCAAGCTCCACACAGGAAGGCCGGAGCCAGGATCG